TTAACTACTGACTTACTCAGTATCAACACCTTAACCACTGACTTACTCAGTATCAACACCTTAACTACTGACTTACTCAGTATCAACACCTTAACTACCGACCTTACTCAGTATCAACACCTCAAGACAGCATTATGTCTTTAACAGGGTTGTTTGCTTCAGTCTCTGATGTGGTAGATCCAGTTAGGGTTGATAAAATATTGGAATTAAAGGACTGGCTCTGAATATTTTTATTTTAAGTATAGTATAGTGGATGGGATGGGTTAGGTGTGTATGTTTTTTAATACGTACAATAACATGGACATCTAAAGTTGAATATACAGCCTTTGGCACCCCCACCAAGCTGGGGATCTTGGGATTTGTTACCTCAGAAGAAAATACTAAACCCAGAAGCAGCTTCTTGCTATTTCCTGAAGTCTGGCAAAAAAGTTGAATAGAACAATATAGTACTTTGTTATATATATTATTGTAAGTTTTAAAGGGGGTGTTGATACTGAGTAAGTCGGTAGTTGAGGTGTTGATACTGAGTAGGTCGGTAGTTAAGGTGTTGATACTGGGTAAGTTGGTGGTTGAGGCTTATATGTTAGAGGAATGTTATATACACGTGAGTGTGTCAAGTTAACTACAACTACCTTTCAACTTTCAGGTGAAAACTTATTTACAAAATCATTTGATTTTGTAAACTGTATCTCAAAGTGAGCAAATATATTTTTAGCAATCTAAACATGTTATCTTTCAAAAAATAGTTTATTATAAAACAGTGATACTCATACCACAACTCACAAATATTTAGCAGGAGCATTTGGCTTGTAATTACGATCATACATTGTTAAGTTACTGTTTTTCTTTTACTTTTATCAGTTTATAGAAGTTAGAAAGATGTTAAAAATCTAACACGTCCTTATTAGAAAAAACAACAACAAACGAACATATAATTAAAACTTAAGTACACGTTGTTGTTTTTTCCACACACACATTTAATTTTAAACACTTATGAGTGAAAATAGTTGTACCAGAACGTTGGTATTATAGTAATTAATATTAGCAGGAACTGATCCCAGGCGGAGAGTACTTTACACTTTACCCACGTCATCTTTCTCACCTCATTTTGAGCTTGTTGTCGTCTTTTACTACTATTATTGACTTGATATTCTCCTTTAATGTCCTTCAAAAGAAAAATTATTCAAGGATTAAAATACGCACTTTGAAGAAATATAAATATGACGTATTTTTATAGCAAACATCCTACGGCTAAGTTGTATCTTCAAAATGGAAGCTCAAATTAACAGAGCCTAACTTACCTCTGGTTCATTCACTGCATTTCGCTTTCGACTCAAAATAGCTGAATGTAACAGCGACTGTTTTTTCTCTCTTTGTGTCTTTGCTCTGTTGGAACAAACGTCAAATAAATTTCACCAAGAAATAGGAATGTTTGTTACGTACGCTAATTTCAAAATGAAACCTATTACAGACATAGAAATTACTTACCTTTGTTTTGACATCCTAATCTTGAAAACCAGCTAACTTATTTTCAGTTGTTCTCCTACAACGAAAAATGTTTAATATTATTTAATATAGCAAAACCTTAAAGTACAAATATTTAACAATAAAGAAACAATTCCAATGCGACAGACGTTCATCTGATTAAAATAGATCTTGGCGGTAAATTTTGGCGGGACAAAAAGTAATTTACTACGTTCTTTAAGTTGAAGTTGAAAAATATATATATTCGGTGCTTTAAAATAAAAAGCTCACTCTTTCAGACAAACATAATTCTATGGCAAAAACAATTAATAAATTTATTCTGCTAATGTACATATTTGTAACGAAAAAAAGTGTGAAAGTCGTCTAGAGCTTACAAGTTACAGTTACAACTACAAGTTATAGAAGCTTCGAATACGACAGTAATACTAATAGTAGTACAAGTTTTAACCTCATCAATAACTATGTTAATATGTCCCAACCACCAGAAATCAACAACTCAAAATTGTATCTTAGTCTCGATACAAGTCACAAATAAAAGATGGGACATTTCGTGAACAACATAAAATCCAGAACACTGCAACAGACATCTACTCGCCTTACCTTTCACCAGCTGAGTGACCAGCATCGCGCCAAAACATACAGCGACACCAAGTAGTGAATTATACATAATGAGCCCAGTTTGATTTCGTCTGATAAAACTAATTGAAATTACATACTATTATACTGTTATAAAAATGTTATTTTTTTATGAGTTAAACTGATCTTATCAACGTGGTAAATTATAATCCAGTGTAATACGATGTACTTAAGTGATTAACATGTGATTAAGTTAAATTTATAAACCATTGTATAATGCAGATTAAAGGATTTGGAACTAAACTATTATTTATTGGCTTATTTGTAACACTTTTCAGGTTATTGTTTGATAAAATAACGATTTTTTTTTTCAATAACTTCAGTGAAAAGTCAAGTTTATTGAATGTCATGATATATTATTATTCTGCTAGGTTATAAATGAACAAATACTTAGTAGTTAATAAATGGAGCATTTTCAATTATTATATATGTTACCAACTAGAATACATTAGTTTGAATTGTTTTCATTGATGTACAATTATATTTTTTCTTCTAATTCGTAATTTATGGTGAAATTATTCACAATTTGTAGATCATGGCGATTACGACAAAATCTAGCATATCATACCACTTTTCTCTAAATAAACATGGTGAAAAAAAAGGTACTATTAAGCTCCATAAACACTGATAAAATTTTGAAACTGGATAAATATATTTTGGGCAATTCTTACGTCAAAAATCTTACTTGTTCTTACGGTCAAATTTACTTCAATTGTCCTAATGGGGGTTGCTCAAACACACAACGGTGATAATAACGACGTAGAGATGTTCAAACCAATTACTTTTTAAATTCAAAAGTTATGTTTTAAGGCATGTTTGGGTTAAAACATGCTTTTAGTAATAAATCTATTTTGTTTTAATAATAACTTCAAAAAAATACGATCTATTTCACAGTGACTTACCTACACTGCAGCTGATACCCGCCATTATGTGCACGAGACGCATGCGCATTCAAAATTTGTTTCACGACGTTAGGTGGTTCAATAATAATGTAGACTTTTGATTGGTTCCTGTATTTGCGGGAAACACAAAAGTAGTCTAGGGAAATAAACAAAACCACGTGTGGCTCAGCGGGTTATGGCGTATACTGAAACATTTTTATTTTTCATCTGTTCTAAGTATGATATTTTTTATATACTTATTTTGATGCATCTTTTTTTTTTAAAACAAATAAGTATAAATAGTTGATAACAGTGGATTTTAGAGCATTTTCATAAATAACTCTGTCTTATGTAGGTTAAAATATAAATTTTCTTGAAAAAATTTTTGTTGATATAGTTACACGTTGTCATTTCGAAAATGTTTTAAATGGTGTGATACTTATACAAACACGTGTTTGGCTAACAAATTATATCAAATAACACGATAAAAAATGCCACAACATATACTATAATTGTAAGTAATAATTACTTAATATTTAAATTAAATACAATGACGCATTGAATATCTTTGTCTCTAAAAAAATAATTTATTAGCAACGGTTCGGCCATAGGCCTACACCAGGCAGTTGATGTGTGTAAAATTCTTGAAAATAGTCTTGCTGAAATTATTTTATTTCTTTCATTTCTAATTTATATAATGAGCTTTGTGTAATAATACCTTCGATGAAAAGTTCAATAACTAATCAAAATTATATTATACAAAAATGTTCATTTAGTACATTGTTTAAGATGGTATTTTAAAATAGATTAAAAATATAAAACCACTAACTGACAATAATGAACGATATACTTTATATTTTGTTGTAACTTTTAAAAACTACTTCTCAAAGGAAAAACATTTTTTAGGACAGAGATAATAAAAATTTCCAAAACCAACTGACGTGACATAACTAATTAATGTGACCTTGTATAAAAAACAAAAACATCTTTATATCAGAAATACACATTCAAAGACGTATTTCAAATATTTGTACAGGTTAACAACTTCCAAGTTTCGACTAAAGCCATTTTAAACAGAATACGACACAGTTTTTGGAATATTTACACTTGATGTTCATGTTAGTTATAAAATATTTATTAAACAAAAAAGTACTGCGTTAGCAGAGCTTAAGACGAAAATAAACATAAAATGAATTATTAGGCTATATCCATTCAACCAGCACCATTACGATAAATGATTAATCAAATATACAAATGAAAAGATCTGCCAAAACATATACATATTTCTGTTTCAAAAGTGGACCAAATTTTGTACTTGTTAATGTTTACTTCATTAACCGTTTCTCTTGGACATTGTAACGAACAGGTAACAATGATACACATACAAGTACTATACTTATATAGTTGACTACTCTTAATTCCAGATAATAATCTAAATAACCCATGGAATTATTTTTGTTTACTCCATTAATTGAACAAGGTTACTTAATATCTACAATTTAGGCCTATTTAATCTCTGCAATTTAGGCCTACTTAATATCTGCAATTTAGGCCTATTTAATGTCTACAATTTAGGCCTAATTAATTATAAAACTGAAAGAAAATATTTTGTTCCATTGTATTTTCATTTAGTACAAAAGGCACATTATTGTACTAAAACAAACTACACTACATTCACATTGCTGAGAATCTTAAATGTGCAAGTATCGAATAGTATTTTATCTAAACCAGTGAGTTGGTTTTAAAATTCAGCATGCTTAGCAACATATTAAACAACTGTTTATTTTTAATAATAACAACAAGGCTAAATTATGTATAAAACTTGTTAATCCAAAAAACACGCACACACATACATACATTAAATGGCAAATACTGGGCTTTGAGCATTCATTCTTTTCTACAGAATATGGCACAAAAAAACGTGTTGAAAGGTTGATACCAAAAATAGCAGCTCTAACTGTCAGTATCAATAGTAAAAGAAAGCTAAGGGCTTTCTGTAATAAAACCCTAGACTATCACACACACACATATCAGTGTCTTTTATTTAGAAGACATGACCTGGAATACGTATGAATTTTACCTGACTAACAACTTCTAAAACATGGGGCATAATTTTTGTCCCATTCTGTATGTTGAAATATTTAGAATGACAACAGTCAAGTACACGTAGTGTTACACAGAGACATTGCTTAAGTAAAATACACATTTCCACTGCTAGGGTTATAAAATTTCAAGCTGATTTTACTGTGAGAAAACACCCGAATATCACAGAACAATAAGCAAAATAAAACCAGTAGCTTATGCACAACCGATTGGGTCTTTTAAATTACTCATAATGTAACTGAATATCATGTGGTAGCAGTTAGAGAACAAAAGAAAAAATACAGTAAATGGAACAGTCAGAAGAAGTTTTGATATCCGGAAAACTAGTTTTTCCAATATTAAGACTTCTGACTGTTTGTTCCCTTCACTGTGTTTTATTATTTTTTTTTTTAAATTTAAATTGCAACTTGTTCAACAATCCTTTTTGACGAAAACTGATGAGGGAAACAAACAGAAAATGTATACATTTACATTTTTAAAGTGAGGTGTATAAAAGAACTTATTCAACTAATAAGGATTTGTAGCGACAATAATAAAAAATATCATTAGCTTATGTTAGTTTACAAGAACATATTTTAGAACTTAGTCAATTACAAAACTACACATACAAGCTTGTAAGTGTAATGTGCCCTGGAATATAATTATTATTCACAGAATACATCAGAAATCCATTTGGTAAAATCAGTGATGAATGAGTTTATATTACTGACAGCACAAGGTTTTATACATACAAATGTAACTTTGAGATGTCTTACAAGTGCTGGTATGTTATTATCACCCAATCAGCATATATATATATATATATATATTACTAACTGTTAGTAAGCATTTATCAATGGTTAGTGACTTTTTGGTCTAGAGCTTGAATTCATGAAGAATTTCAAAAGATAATTATGCGATATAAGAATGTGAATGCCTGAGAGACATAATGAGACTTTTGGATGACTGACGATTCTGTAGTTGCTTGGACAAGGCAGAGTTTCTTCGAAAGGAAGATGTTCAAAAAGTAAATCTGTGTAATTGTGACTGAGTTGTTGTTATCGTTTAACCCATAGAGAGATAGGCGAGTTAACTGTGACTGAGTTGTTGTTATCGTTTAACCCATAGAGAGATAGGCGAGTTAATTGTGACTGAGCTGTTGTTATTGTTTAACCCACAGAGAGATAGGCGAGTTAATTGTGACTTAGTTGTTGTTATTGTTTAACCCACAGAGAGATAGGCTAGTTAATTGTGACTGAGTT